GACTTGGGATATTAAAGGTGGAGTTGGATCCCAGCGTGGGAGATATCATGTTTAAGATTGTTCAACTTTTGAAGTTGTGCCCTCTACTCCATCATCTTTATACATCAGTGAGTGATGTTGTTTGATCTTCTTCTATTGACTATGTGCTATGTCTTGATATATATCTAGTTATAACTCTTGACTGTGACGACTAATTTCGGTTACAAATTGCAGCTGAGTGCCCGAGAGGACAAGGAACCAGAGAAGCTAGGGTCCATTGATGAATACCATCATGAATGTCTCGAGCAGATTACAATCCGTTATTTTGTGGGCACCAAGTATCAGATCGAGTCTTGCAAGTATCTACTCCAACTTGCTCCTCGCTTGAAAAAGTTGGGATTAAGGCGTGCTTTGCCCGATACGTTGTCGTGTCTAAAAGAAGCGGGGTGTAGAAGTCATCCAATAAGTGAAGAAGAATGTGAAAGCGCGTTAAATGCGCTGAAGCTATTTTCAATTGATGCGAAGGTGTTCTTCATCTAATTTGAAGAAACATTACATACTTATTGAACTTGATTATCTTTTTTTGTTGATCATTTCAATAATTTACAGTGAATTTTTCATCAAGTTTACAGCATTCCCAAACACATATCGGTTAGCTATGGAGCTAGTTAATACACAGCTTACAGTACAAGAATCCCAAAAATTGACCTAACAAAGGGTGATGTCTCAAAAAAATGATATCTAAATCCCCCATTCCTAAATTTTGAGTGTGTTATGGACTTGGATGCTTGGTTCAATGATGAGATGGAAATTTACCGGTGTCTTACACTACGTCTGGTTCAAGGAATTTAAAAGGGAAATGAAAAGAAAATGAGAACAAAAATAATATTTCAAATGTTTGGTTAGAGAAGAAACGAAAAGTGAAAAGAAAACGAGAAGATAAAACAGAGTAAGAGGAAGAAAGACCAAATTCCTCCCATTCGGCCCTTTCCTACTCTGCCACCCACATCCACTCTTACTTATTCTAGCCACATTTTACGTTCTCGTTCGCCGCCACCTTGCCTTGTGCACCCCTGCCCTCTCACTCACCCCCATGCGTTATCTATCCCCGCCCTATCCCTCACCCCACACCCAATCTACCGCTGCCCTATCCCTCACCTACACCTAATCCACCCCACCCCCTCCCCATCGTCCCCCTCCACTCACAACACCACACCACCTGGCCCCGTCACTTGCCACCCCACACCACATTCCTTAACACCCTACCTAGCCATCCTATTGGTCCGCCTCTCCCCATATTGCTAAAGTATTTCTAAATTGTCTAAAAAAAAATTTTTTAAATATCTCTTTCTAAATATTAACTTTGAAAATTGTATTTTGAGAAAAAATTCTTTTATGCCAAACAACGAAAAATATGAATTAGCTTTTGCAATTGTAGTTAGTCTTTGGCTCCTCGCTTTGAAGTCAAATAAGACCTTATTTTGGCTCCTCACTTTAAAGTCAAATAAGACCTTATTAAAGCATTTCTATGAATTAAACTAAGCATACAGCACATTTCAGCTTTTAATTAACCAACAATACATTAGAGATTTATGTCATGTCAAATTAATTTAATGGTGGTGGCCATATCTCATCCATCCATCTATCTGGACAAGGAAAATCAAACAAATCATCTACAAAAGACTCAGTGGCTAGTTAAATTAAGATGCTAGGCTGCATAATATCAAGGGAACCAACCTCTCTTCCCTCCCCCATCCCCCCATTCGGAACAAGTTCATCTTCCTCGCCTGCCCCCGCCACCCCATGATGATGATGATGATAACTCAACGTGTCATCAACTCCTCCTTCGCATATCTCCACGTCATCAACCCTGGGTCCAAAACTGGCTGCTACTAATTCACCACCATCTTTGTCATCGAACTCATGACTGGATGTGATATACAGGTGTTTAGGACTATCAACTCCACGGCCTGTGGCATCTAGGTTGTGGTCAGCAAGATCGGCATCAATGGCTGCAGGAGAAAATGGAGATGGCAGACAGTCCATTATTTCATCGGTGGCATAATATTGATCCACCTCCTCCTCTTTTCTTCTGCGTTTGGACGTGCCTTTCCTTCTTATTCTCTCCTTTCCTCTCCCCCGTTTCCCGATCTCATCATCGGGCGAGTTGGCTATAATCACCATTGAACTCCCCCCGCTCTGGTGGTGGTCTCTAAAGCACTCACGAGCAGCATACTGGATTCTTGACACCACTTGAATCTGCTGATCGTCCATCCCATGAGTGGATAGGGTGTCTGCTAAATGCGCAATCTCTCGTAGTGCAGCATTCTGTAATTCATAAATATATATAAGGAAAAAGTGAGTTCATATCCATTTCTTTATTTGCTCTAGGAGTAGGTTGAATGCATGCAGAGTAGAGTGGTGGTGGGAATAGATACACCTTAAGATATGTGCAATGTAACAAAAATCAAAATCAATACAACAAAGCCTTGAATCCCAAGTAACACGGGCCGGGTCGGCTACATGAACCAAGAGGAGAAACGCGTCCGGTCATCACATAACAAATAAACCACAAGAAAAAAAATTAGCCAGTGGCAGCCTGGTAGGCAGGAGACACTTACCATTCTTTGGAACTCAGAAGAGATGGGTACAGGCCTCCCAACCAACCTGCGTGTGATATTCCAATACCATTGCATATATGCACTTTCCTTCACATGTTCCTCCGCCTCCACAACATGGTGATGACGGCTTGACCACTCATTAAGCTCAAACTCCATCTTTGTTGAGAGATCTACCCCACCATCCACTCCACGGCTCTTCCTCTCCCATCTTTGTACCTCTTGAGGTATTGTTTGGTTCATGCCAAATTGCCTCAGGACACGATCCGGGAGGTGCCTTTCTGCCTTATCGAAGCATATCAGCATGGTCTTTGATCTTCCAAGAATCGTAGTATTCATTATACTTTCTGGAACGGCTATGTGGCTTATGTTGGAATAAGGACACCAATCAACCTGAATATATAAAGTATACACAATAACACTAGAGAGTGAATTTTCATCTCCAGATGAGAAACCTAAGAAAACAGGCAATCAGCCTGCCAGACATCCACCGAACATATAATTTAAACATACATCAGGTGGCTTTAACAAGTCCAATGATTTCCGATAGAATGCTACATCACGGTTTGATGTTGGGCTGCTTTGTTTTCCTTTCCACCTAAGTACAAACGGGAAGCATTCATGAATCGGTTCATGATTAAGCTTTGGCCGACCAACATTCAGGTGATAATAACTCCAGCACTGCAAACCCAGAAAAAATTATAAGTTGCAACTTGCAACACAGATTTTATACAGCAAACACTAACTACTGTCAACGGTCTCACTTAATCTGCTAATAATGGGAAAAAAGTAGTGTATGAGAGTTACTTCTTTTGCTGAAATTGATGCTTTTAGATTTACTTATAAAAATTACTTTCTTTATATTTTCTACACACGCACACAGACACACATACATACATTGCATACATTCATACATATACAACTATACATGCATACATATATGAGTGTGTTAGGGAAGTTTTCACTAGAACCCTTGGTGATGGATTTGGTTATGAAGAATTGACACACACCCTTGGATTTTTTTAGAAAGGCAATCGTTTTGAATAGCAATCCAAGAGTGGATGACAATCCTTCCTGATCAAATAAGTCACGAAAGACTGTCACCAATATTTTCCTATATATACTCCTTGCGTACCAAAAAGAACTTCATCATGCCCTTATTTGCATGTCCAAAAATAAACTTCACTCTTCTCATATTTAAATTTAAGGAAATGAAAAACAATTTCCACCCATACAATTTTCACTTTTCAATGGTTCTCTTACACTATGTTTGGTTCAAGAAATTTGAAAGGGAAAAGAAAAGAAAATGAAGTGGAAAGCATTTTTTCTTGTTTGGTTAGAGATGAAAACAAAGGAAAAAGGGAAGGAAAATAAAATGAGAAGGCAAAATGTACTAAGTGGAGGGAAAACCAAATTCTGAAATTCCTCTCATTTTAGTGAGGAAAATGAGAGAAAATAATTTTCTTTAAAATGAGAAAAAGATCATTTTCTTTTCTTTTCCTTCGAAATTCCTTGAACCAAACATAGTGTTAAACTTCATGAAGTCAAATTGTAAAGTTCTTTATGGGACAGAACTCAGAAAGGGTATGTATATGTGCACTCAAAAAATAAATGTTTCAATGAGCAGATACAGCCATTTTGAGAGTTGAGACTTGCCAAATTGGCTCTCAATGATCAAGTCACTGCAACAGTGTATTCCCAGTAAAAAATTGAAATGACGAGATTAGACAGTCTCATACTCCCTCCGTCCACAAATAAACTTTACATTACGCGTTATGATGTTTGACTGAAGTTATTTTCAAATCATTTTATATGAAAAATAGTGTAGAATTGAAAAATAAAAATTATATATTAAAAAACTATATCAAAAGATCTACAAAACTAGAGGTGACATGACTATATTATTTTATCAAATGGGTGACGAAAATAGGCCAACAAAGTGAATAAAATTTGACCCTGTGAATAGTGAACGTAAAGTTTATTTGTGGACGGAGGGAGTATTACCTGTAGCAATGTTAAACAGCCACTAATTGTGCTCTGAGACCTAAGAGAGGCATTTCCAAGTGCTCTGTACAAGAAGGACAATGCTGCTGCACCCCATGCATACTTTCCGGCCTCATCAAAGTCTTCAAACAAAGGAAGGTACATAACAGGCACCTTATTTCCAGTGGTAGTTGAGAATATGGTGCTACCAATGAGATAAAGAAGGTAAGCACGCGTATGGTGCTCAATATCTTCGGGTGATGCACCCTCAGGACAGAAAGAGAATGTCTCTTTCAACCAACTAAGCTTCACCATGCCACCACTTGTGTACCCAGAGTTAGGTACTTTACCCAAATACTTGAGGCACACTGCCTCACACGAAGTATAAGTAACACCTATAACCGGTTCACCATCAACTGGTAGCCCAAGCAAGTAAGCAACATCCTCAAGTGTCACTGTCATCTCCCCGACGGTGAGATGGAACGTGTTTGTTTCTCTCCTCCATCTCTCCACCAAAGCGGAAATAAGTGGATTGTCCAAACTAATAGCGGGTATCAATCTTAAGTAGCCAAACCCAGCCTTTTTTACCAACTCTACTTGTCTCTCTGTGAGCATCCACCTGTCAAGCCTTGAAGTGTGTTCATGGCATCTAAGAGCACCCCGCTCCTGTAAAAAACGGAGGTAATTATAATAATAATTACCATCACAGGTTCATTACATTTTATTATTATTAATGCTATTACAGGTGAGAATGTGAGATTGTATTGAAAAAAGGTCAGTGGAAGTACCTGCCCCTCCCAGACCGCACTTGATACATGCTTATCCTGGTCATACAATACTGAGTCATCAACTGGTCCCGGATTGTTTACATAATGGTCCATTATTTAGGGAAATGAAGTTGGTATTGTATTGGGTTTGTTGTGTTCTTGGAGCTAACTATGTATGCTTCACGAACAAAAACACCCTATAATAAAAGAGAAATTAGAACAAAAGAATTAACTCAAACATGTAATGGCTAATGAGATACCAACATTGATTGAAATAAATAACAAGGATGCTGAGTTGTATTTTATTGTGTATCTTGTTATTAAGAAATACCACTTTTCCACTTTCCTTATTATATGTATATGTTATGCACACGCAGGGAAAAGAGAGAATAGAAGGAAAACAGAAGAAGTTAAGCACATTACATATCATAAAACAACAACTTGCCCAATAAAATCTCACAAATGGGGTCTGAGAGAGATGAGTGTACACATACCTTACCTCTACCTGGAAAGGTAAAGAGGCACATTGCATATCATCAATATAAAAACTACAGCAATGACTACCCATACGACCAAAGTGTCTAGGATCTAGAATGAAAGAAAGTATTTTTTAAATAAATAGAATGTATACTGAGGCTATTTAGCATCCATTCTTGTAATTCTACATCAAATTCTTAGTTTTTCTTCGCCCTCTCCAGTTACCTACACCAGAGCACATCCATTCTCGTATCTACTAATGGTCAGCTCCATTATGAACTTCAAAAAGATTAAAACAAAGTACTTCATAGACCAGATCACCAGAACAGCTATTTCATCTCCATCAAGCAAAAGGGTCTAACCAAATGGCATATACCTCCCACTAAAAGATGAAATTCAAGGTGTGCGTCCAATTCAGCGAGAAAGCTAAGCCCCTTTCAGAAGCATAAGACCAATGTTTGTGTTGGGATAAAGGGCAATATTGGATTCTATTCGTTAAACTTATCCGAGGATCATTAGAGCCTTCCAAATCTATATTCTATCGATACACTTAAGGGGCAACAAATTACCAAAGCTAGAAATAAATGGAGATGCAAGTCATAGATGTGCTGAGTGTGTGGCAGATGACGTGCAGAGGGCTAAAGAGAACACCCATAATCACGTTTTCCAATTTGAACTTAGTAGGTTGAGCACAATTTTCTCAGCATTTTCAAATGGCAAAGACTTGAATTGTCAGCAATTCCACATCATGGACAGTTTTCTGCATTGGACAAATAACGAAAATGTGGACGTTTTTTTTTTCTGTTTCCTAAATTAAGTAAGCAATTACGATACTACACAACGACTCTGAAAAAGAAGGGAGAGAGATGAAAAGAAATGAACTTGAAAATTATAACTAAAAATGCACAGGAGTTTTCAATCAGCATGTCAAAACAGAACTTCCAATCCAGTATTGATGAGATATCTCACTAAAAGCGTCAAGTTGGAAGAAGTAGATTCAGATGATGCAAGCACAAACCGAACCTGCGGAGAAACCTGTGGTCGGACACGGGGACATTGTGGCGTGGCGTACGGTTGATCGGATGGGATCCCAGAGGCGCAGGACACGACGGGCGTACGCGGCGGTTCGGTGGAGTTAGATAGGCGGCGATAACGGCGTCGGGCGGAGTGGTTTGAATCCGGCGTTGATGGTGTGGTTGCAGCGAGTTGGGGTGCGTTTTGGGTGGGGAAGGGGTGAGGACTGAGGAGTTGAGGACAACTATGGACGCGGTCCGTACTCAGATCTTTTTACTTTTCTTTGGTGGGTTTTTTAGGTCTATATTAATTTTCTTTTGATTTTATGAATCTTTTGAGACATAAAATGAATAAATGTATTGGACATTCTAAAATGTAACTATCAAATACGCCATATAAAAATCTGTGAGAAAGTTTATATTTCATATGTAGATCTTAATCATGATAATGCAACTCTTACCAAAAATATGTCTCAGTCTCACTACCCAAATGTCATTAATTTTTTATGACTAAACTTATGATGTTTTATATAACAAAATGTGTTCCGCATGTGAGAACATGAGATTTGATAATATTTCGTATGAACAATTTTTGCCTTTTATTATTCTTAGAGCTTGCAAACATGAAGGCCAAATCAAGTGTGATTTTGATTTTTTTTAGAATATGGGTTATTTTGGGTTTGAATTGAAAAATGAATGTTCATTATAATCTGTCATCGGGTTCGAGCCGATATAACGAAATAAGAGCATTTATTATTAGAACATATAAATTTATATTAGCACTTGCATTTTGCATAAAAATATTAACGTATCAAATTATATTTTAAAGCTATTCTAATGTTCTTTTGAATTTACAAATATTTTTTAGATATACTCCATAAAACAATGTTATAATGAGTAAATAATTAAACAATTAGAAAAGTAATAATCCTCTAACATAATATTTCACACAAAAATACAAAATTTCAAGCATACCTAACCATAGTGGGTTGGTTAGGTTTGATTTCAATCATTGGGGTTTCACCCGATGTTAACAATTATATTTCAAGTTTGATTATTTTTGTGTATCAATGACAAAATATTTGTTCAAAATATATTACTTTAGGTTATGACTTGAATCAAAATAGATTGAATTAATTTTTTTAGCCCAACTAGTTTTTTCCATTTTCTATGAAAAAATTATGTGTCAGACAATATTTATTGTCATCAAAGAAGTGAAGTATTTCGAGCAAATGGTGGTGAATGGTGATGGTGAGAAAAATGTCTTACCTCATATGGTTTGTCATTTATCTAAATGCACCTCCAATTACATTCAACCATATCATTAATGGGCTCTTGGATAGAAGAAATCTTATTTCTCGGAGAAATTTTAGGTTCTTCCACCATCAAAATATAACCACTTGGAAGTCAAAATAAATCTCAAAGTACACATGCATCCCAAAAAAATTGATGGATATTTACAACTTCTTACAAAAATACTTTTTTCCAGTTTTCAACTATATGAGATCCCTAATCTAGTTTTCTTCGTTGCAAAACATTTCAAATTTAAAGAATGAAAGTTAAATAAATAAATAACTAGATAAGCTTAATTCCGAACAAAGAGAGAAGCTTCTTCACAAGATATATTTTGATATAATAAATTATAGGATACCAATGTTTTGTAATATCAGAAGTGAGACAGATCTTTGAGTACACAATTACATAACATTCTTTCTGTCCAAAGAAATGATTCGTTTAGTGTACAAACAGATAGAGGGATATATTGACACAAGTTAACACTTTAGTTGGACGCTGTATTGGTTAAAAGAACAATGGGATGATGAAGTAAGGCCTTCCTTCCACAATTAAACTGTTCATTGAAATATTTTCAAGTGTTCCTTCTTTGGTTTTCTTTTTCTTCTTGTCAACACAAGATCTAGGAATCCCCACGGAGCATTAACGATTGAAAGGGTACCTTCTTGATTTCAACGAACGTAGAAAACTCTTTGTCCATTGGTTGTTTCCATGGCTCGCCATCCATCTGCATATAAGCTTCTTTCCAGTCTCCCCCTCGCAACTCAAATCTGATCGCCGAAGCCTGAGAATTGAAAAGGAAGAAGGTTTAATAACCAAAGTCTGGCAAAGAGTCAAAAGCATTTTGTGTGTGGGGGGTACCTGGGCTATGTGTTTGGCAGAGATGAGTTCAACCATAACCATGGAAGCATGCCACCCTTGTTTAAGGCCAAAAATCTCAATCAACCCGTCATCAGCAGCAGCCTCAACAAACCCTCTCTAAGGATCCAAAAAAGATTTTAAAAAAAAAGATGAGAAGGGAAAAAAGAGTTGCAGTGGCCAACCTCCAATTTCACCACCTTCAAGAATAAATAAAATAAATACATAAATTAAAAAAAACATAAAAGAGCGTGCGCGCTCTTAAGCAGCATCCACCACTATCCACATTAAAGAACTGATATGAAGCAAAGTATAAAGGGCAGGCACAATTGCCAGTAATATCGATGTATCGTATCATACCTTCTCCAAATAATCTGGCTTCAAATGGCCCCAGGGATTCCTTCCACTTCCGTAGCTTGGAAGATTAAGAGCAACAATGGACCGAACACTAGAAAGCAAATAAATATTACATAATGATTGTAAATTAGGGGACAATAAATTACTATGGTAAACTATTGCGATTATCTCACCTTGATGGGACAGGGATTAGTTCCCAGTTTGAGCAATTGGCCTTTTTAATCTGAATACGCAGTATGTTTTTCAATCCCCTTCAAAAAAATGAACAAGTCGTTGTGAATCTTCACATAATCTCATAGAGATCTTACAAGGAAAAGAGCAGGGCGATGTCACTAATAAATATAAGCAAATTTATGTTAGGCGTGATGTTAGATCTGATGCAAATTCATTGTATGTGTCATCATACAACCTTTTCTTGATTGATAAATCTTTAACTTTGCCATTATAGATATAAAAAAAAAGAGATGACAGCAACTCAAAATAATACTTAAAATGAATATTAATGTGTGGGATATCTAGAACTTGACATACACAAGTTCCACTAGTACGAGTGTGGTTCTAACAAAAAAAGGAAGTGTTTTTGAATTGTCGGATTAATCATTGATTGTTTAGGTAAAAGTAAAAGTATGTACTATGTAGTGCTTTCAAATAAAAGTGCAAATTTATGCCTAAGTGCTTTTAAATGTTTGCAAACCAAAAGTTGTTTGAAACAAGAATAAAAACATCCCTAGACACACGAGTGAAAAATGTCGGCAGAGATAAAACTGAAAAAGTTGTTTGAAATAAACATAAATATAAGGAGGTAACAAGCTGCTTTTGGCTTTTGAGTTTAAGTGGCTCCAAAAAGTGAGATTTAAGCATAAAAAGTCACTACAAATCACTAAAATTGCAAAGTACTTATAAAAAGGCAATATGCAAAAATCTAAGTGATTGAAAACACTCCGTGTACACCTACATTCAATCCAGTTCCAACACTTCGTAAAAATATAAATTTTTCTTGAAAGTTCAGTGATTTTACAAATGATAAAGTGTGTACCTTAATCCAGGGTCACTAGTACAAGGAGTGAAAAACCAGCCCTGCTTGCAACTATATCCTGAGTAAATCAACTGAAATAAAGAAGTCAGTGGTTTGTTGAACATGGTAGTTCCTGTGCAGTTAATTAACATTTCCAGGGTAAAATACTATAACACTGAGCTCTTAAGCTGAAATAATTGCATAAAATACACTTATAGTCCTATCAAAACTTTCAAATACAGGGACTAGGGCAGAAGCCAGAATTCTCAAATCCTAAATATTTTAGTTTGAGGGTGGGAGAAGGAAAATAATCATTCATTTAACTTTTACGGAAAAAGATGTACATAATACATGTAGAAAATATTCCAGAAATTGGGGACTGCTAACTCCCCCCCCCCCACCTGTTCCTACTCTTAAAGGAGAGTGTATAAAGTAGATGAGATTTTTAGAAACTACATGATGTACCATGAGGAATCATCATTTTAGGAAGTTCAGGGTTCCAAACTTCTATGTTCAACAAACATCTTTGATACCATACTCTCAAAAATGGAATCAAAGTAAACAATAACCAATAAAAAATAAATAAATGAATAAGAACCACATACCTTGTTTGAAATAGGACCTTGGGCAAGGTATGGCTTTTCATTCCGTAAATGGTGGAAACCATAAGCAACCTGAGCATCCATTCCTGCACCCATCATGTATAAGATACATTATTTTTTTAGGCTGCAGAAATTTTTATAAAAAAATCCAGTACATGGAAGTTAATTGCCATCACATACACCAAATTGTACACCTATTATACCAGTAAAAGTTGAAATAAAACAAATTATTTTGAGTGCACACCTATGCTGAAGTAATTATAAAATACTCCTTGATAGTAGGATTGCTTCTCAGGAAACACCCCATTAATTCCCTGATCCTGCTAAAAGCTCAACAAACCACTGAAGTATTTAGATATACTTATTAAAAGAAAACATGCCCCATGAAGCATAGTCACATTGATGATGGATTCTTCTAAACATGTGAAAAGTCCAAAAAGCTTGATTGACCAACTAACAACATATTCACATTCCAATTTAGCAACTTGATAAACTCCCTCCCTCCTAAAATGAAGTTTACACTTTGACTCATGGAGTTCGAGAGAAGAGCTGAAAGGTGAAACTTGTTTGGTGAAAAGTGAAAGATGTCGGTTGAAATTTGTTTAGAAGAGATAAATGATAAGAATCACATATTCATTTCCTAAAAGGGAAGGGGGAAAAGTGTGAATTTTATTTTGGGACATCCAAAAAAAAGGAATGTGCAAACTTTGTTTTGAGATGTCGGGGGTAGAATATAAGTATGCATAATTGCATACAAAACTAGGATCCAATAGCTTTTGCACCCCATTAATATTTTTAAATACTCACTCCGTCCGGATTTAGTACGACACCTTCTTTTTGTGTGTCTGTGGAATTAGCTATCCATTTTTCATATTTAGAGAACATATTATGGTGGATTCTCTGAAATAACTCAGCGTATTCGCATTGTTGACCTTGATGAATGATGAACCAATTTAAAAGGACATATTTGACATTTTTCTCTCACACCATAAATATGATTTTATTTTGGAAAATGGGTAACTAAATTAGGACGGATGGAGTAATTCTATGTAGGGATGTGAGGCAAAAACTTGAGAGCAGGAAACTGCCCACCATCAAAGAAATATACATTTGCCATTGGAGATAAGACATCATGTTCAAGTGTTCAACAGTTCATTGCTTCTAGAATTCAGGTTAATCCGCTTTCAAATACTAAGGCACAAAATTAATATAAAAACTTTAAAACAGATAGAATAATCAAAAGACATTGAGTTAAGCGGACAAAGAATAAAGATATTAATAAAAAAGCTGTGTCAATAACCTGGTCAAGAGTTAAATCTTCTGCAGACTTCAAAGAGTAAGGTGTCTCCATTTTTTCTCCAGCTGGCATTGAGATTAGAAGCTTCCAACTGCAACATAAAAACTAAAAAGTCAGAAAAAACTGCAGAAGGAAACAACAAGCCTAAAAAAATATGCACACGCAAAGCAACATAAACTAGAGTACTGGACATAGAAGACATTGTTCACATTCACATACTCCAACTCTCTACATAGAAAACTATAGTACTAGAGGTGGCAGAGCCACAAATGAAACAAGCCAATAGCAAAAACAACAACAAACCCCATAAAAACCCACAAAAAACAGGGTCTCAAGAGGATGTGTGTATGCAGACCTTGCCAACAGCAAAAACTAAAAGAAAAAAATGTAAAAATATTGTTAACAAATAAAAAAGAATATTGACTAATAATCAAGGGGAAAATGCTAAAATGCATCAGCAATAACATATAATACAATGAAGAGATCGATAAATAAAAACTGAATAAAGAAGCAACCTATCTAGATGGCAAAGTGGTGCACTGGTAACTCTATCAAGAACTCTCTTTATTGTTGATCTCCAGTTAAAAGGAAATGAACCTCCCTGAAAATACATATACACCAAATCACTAAATAGTAAATGAAAGAATTGGGAATTTAATGCAGATAAAAGTAACTTACCCAACCAAAACTACGGGACAAGTCATTTCCAGTACCGAGTGGTATTACTCCTGTTGGTGGAATGGGCTCTCGGCCTAATGCATGAAGTTCTCCAAGACATCCGAGGACCCACCCAACTGTCCCATCACCACCTGCTACCTGCCAAAACATATTTTACACAATACTATGTGCACAGGCAAAATAATGCAAACTACCGCAATAATCTAAACAAAATAATAATAATAACAATCATAAATAAATAATAAAATCAATTGCTTACCACAATTTTCAACTTTTCACGAATGTCTTTGGCGCACGTGTCTCCAAGACCAGCAAACTTCTCTAGGCAGCTCAATCCATGTTGAACAAATTCATGAGGCTTCACATCTTGAAGGTCAAAAACCTGTCAAGAGATGACAGACAATGAGAAGGAGGAAATGATGCCAGAATAAATTTCATTTGCATCACAACCCGCTTAGATAATCATTAAACGTCAAATTTTCAACAAAAAAAACAGCCAACGTCATACTGAAGCTCAGGTTACAAGAGGGAAAAAAGGGACACAAAATTGTTGAGGAAGGCTGTTATGGTTCTGTCAATCTATATAGAAACAGGTTGCAAGTTCAGCCTAAGGGGAATAACTTGTAAGTTCAGGAAAATAATTTTTTTGCATTTGTAGCTGAGAAGCCAACCTTTTACGTTCCAAAGTCTTGTTCCTACAATCCTACCTTTCCCATTATACATAGAACTAGTAAAGCCTGGAAGAGGAAATAGCATGATTAGCATGGAATGTTGATCATCAACAAGGCGTAGCTACATCTATAATACTTGTTCTCATATAACAAAATGTTTCCTTGAAGGTTAGTACCTCATTCAAATTTTAATCAATTCAAAACTTCAAATAAAACAATAAATGCCTTTTATAGAATGTTTTCTCATGACCAAAATGCCCAATCATATGTGTAGGGGTGATGGGTCAAAAATTGTAGAAATTCGTCAAAAGCTTTAGATGTACATTGCAAAGTTTCATAAAGCATTTATTGCATGGGATCTGTCTAAACCTATAAACTTTTATTGCATACAAATGTTGCACCAACTAGGCTGCCAGACACATTCTACATTTGGGCACTGATAGGCACCATATTCGATACCTTTCCTCAAAAGCACACCTTTATCTTTATCTCTATCAGTCCCCTGAGAATTACCAATTGCATATGACCATATAAGATTTTTTTTCAAAAAAAAAAAAATTACACCCTCCAGTCCATATTTAATGATTGAGTGATTACAAAACGGGGGGTCTAGGTACATTTATGGCATATGTATATAAGAAATTCCATCTTTGAGTGAATGTACCCAAGAAAAAATTAAAGTCAATAATGCAGACACTAAAAGTCACACAGAGACACGACTTCATGCTTTTCAACAGCTTTCAAAATTTGACAAAGAAAAAAGGGGGGGTGGAAGGAAGGAAGAACACCTGCTGCTCAGCCATGAGTTCCTGCAAGCGGGCTTTAAGCTCGGGGCCATGCCGTCCGCCACTCTTGGAATTGATGAAGACAACAACCGGAGACTCGGGCGGGTCGGGTTGCTGGGCTCCTTCGGCGTGAGCGGCGTCGAAATGCTGCTTGGCAGAGTCAACGTCCTTGGCCCGAATCGCGGCCCTCATGGCGAGCCTCAGATACTCCGGCATCGTGATCCTCCGCCGCAGCTCCTCCTTGGGAATACGCGCTCCGGCCAGCGTGCAGCCCCTGATCGAATCGATCACCGACGCTCGGCCGGAGGAGCGGCTACCGGACTCCGCCGTTCTCGGCGATCCCATCACTACTGGAAGATATAATCACTTCCCTGCTGCTCCACGAATCAATCGCAACGGCACTGGGGAGGATTTAAAATATGAATTTGGGGGAATGCAATAAATACGCCCAATGGGGATGGAGTGATGCGAGAGAGAAATTAAAGATGCAAAAAATGTGAAGAAAGCGATGGGATGCGATGCGAGAGAGAAGTAAAGAGAGGGGAAAGAGTATTTACAACGGTAGCGGTAGTGGGAGGGGGACAACAGCAACAAATGTGCAAAATATTGCAGTTTTTTTCTCCTTATGTCATTAATCCAACCCACACTTCTATAAATATCCTAGCTTTTTTATTCAAAGTATATAAATTTCAGTCACTTAAATAAAATTCAAATACTACCTCTGTCCGGAAATATTCTTCTCATTTTCTTTTTTGGTCCGTCCGGAAATATTTTTCCCATTTCCTTTTTTAGTATACTTTTTAAGGCTAAATATCAATAATATCCTTTTATTCCATCACAAATCTACTTTTTTAGTACTTTTTAAATAATAAAAGGAGATTTAAAAGTTTATAGTATGTGCATTTTTTAAAATTTTACATTTTTTTTTACTATTCCTTAATAAGCGTGCCAAGTCAACACGGGAAGAACATTTCCGGACGGAGGGAGTATTAAGTAGTGCACATTAGTTCCAAGAGTGTACCATTGATCCTAAAATGTTATATAGAGATCCCACAGACGTGAATTGTGAGAATGGTCCATCTGACTCTTATGAATTCTCTAAAATATCCTTCCCCAAAATTATCTTCTTTATATAAATGTTCAGAGGTAAACCGTGCAATTTCCGAAGCGTTCAGGAAATATTTAGTGTATTTTTTAATGTTCAGGGATAAAAAGTGCAATTTATGAAGAATTCAGAAATTTTTTGTGCACTTTTTAATTTTCAGGAGTAAGCCGTGTATTTTTGAAGAATTCGGGGGTAAATGGTGTATTTTTCTATATAAAATTTTAATGTAAAATGATAAATAATGTAAAAGAAACGAAGATGTGGGTGAGAGTATGATAACATTGCATTTATTTTGGGACGGATCTGAAAATGTAAAGAATGATGGTGAAACATGTGATAATGAGTTAAGGCGAGAATCTCCCCCGTTGTAAATGTTTTATGGTCGTTGAGGAGCATTACTTTTGTGATTAGTGTAGCAATTAACCCTTTTCAATTGAGTTTGAGTTTTTTTTAACAGGCTAGTGTCTTCTGGAGTAATCATTTTCTCCAAAAATAATTGTTCTTCCGTCTGAATTTAACACTTTGATAATTAATATTGATATTTAGATATAATTATATTTTGTAAAAGTTAATATTCCAAAATCATGTTCATAAATTTCTGCAAACAAAGGTCAAATGAAAAAATTAAATCTAAGACAAAATGAGTCTATAAAAAAAGAGTGTTGTAGTCAAGCTTTTTGATTTTTTTCACGGCATCAAACTTTGATTGAATTCCATTAGTAGTCGTGTAGGCAACTAGGCAAGCCATTAGCGTAGGTAAGCATGCACTAATTAAGAATTTAGTTATTCGGAGACAGAAATGGTAGAGTCACAAATAAATAATTCACAAACTTTACAAATTTACCTTTTGTAAATTTTAAATTAAAATATCTTTTACGGAGTATTATTTAAGTGCATCTTTGTTCTATTAAAATGTTTTAAAAAAAGTAAGTTTGTAATTCTAGCTTTACTCATGAGGAGGACGGCGGCTATGTTTAATAATAATAGAAATCACTCCTAATAGGACTAAAACATTGTGCTTATCCTTAAAATAGGAGTTCATGTTTTTTATCCCCCAACTAGGACCTCTCCCACCACATTCTTTCTTTCTCTCCCGATTTTGCCCTCCTTTTCCTTTCCGTGTCACAATTCACAATCTGCCTCGTTTACATTACAACTCTTTGTAATACACATTACCACATTACATACTGTGACACTTTACATTACAATGGTTCGTAATATTCATCACCACATTACAGATTATGACACTGGTAATATCCACATTACATACTTTGTTGGACTATCATGAATTTTTTTAATTGCATCTTAACCATTGAATATTTTTATTTTTTTGTTATGCATTTAAAGTCAACATGTCCATATGAGTTTAAAGGACAAAACATGGACATGTTGTGAATTCTAACTGGATCAATTTATTTGCGTTCATGCGGTGGCTGCTATTAGGAGACGTCCCGGCTTATCTTGTTATGATTTTATTTCTCCTTTCTACAAAATTGAAGCGTTAGTATATATGTACATATGCTGGTATAGTCCACCCAAACACATAGAAATCCTATTCCATGAGTGGAAGATCCAAACACTATTTGATATCACTTTATGTTGCATTACATGACTTTTTTTAGTATGATTTAATTGTGTTAAAATTGCTTGTACTAAGATGTAATGTACTTTTTAAAATGTTCTTCCTTGTTGACACTTTTATTTCATAATTTCGTTTCATCTAAATAACCTTTATCATCCAATGCTGTGTACAGTGCCACATATTGGCATATACATGACCAACTTTAGGGACTCTTATAAATTATTGTACGTGTAAATGAGAAAACTAAAATTTTATATTATAAATGGCCACCTTAAGTCAACAATAATGCAACACTTAACTTTAATAGTAATATATTTATTTTATGTTTGGTAGTTAAAGGTTTGCGGTAGAGATGAGAGGGAGGGTAGGGTATTTTGGGGATGACCATGCAAACTAAGTCCTATTTGGGGAATTTATGTTTTGGGCTCCTATTTAGGTATATTTGATATGTGTTAGTCCTATTTAGGTTTTTTTCCCTAATAATTATCCCTTAATTCTAGAAGCTGAATGAATTCCAAGATCGGCGTCGGCGGTCACGTTTGAATGAGCGAGCTGAGGAAGATTCCAGTGAGTCAACTCGTTTACTTTTTGTTACACGGTTTGGACTTGAGTATTCAAATTTATTCGTAATTACTTCATGGGTTATAAATCTATAATGGTGTTATTAGGATTGAAAACATTATCGAAATGTCTAATACGTCCTCCGATTTTTAAGATCTTAGCAAATTTTGCTGAACTACAATAATGTTATTGTAAGACATCGGTGGCAATATTTGACGCCTAGGGCAGAAAGATGAATAGTACACTTTTTCGCCCAACTTAAATTGGATATAGTTTCGGGTATGGTTCAACCAAATTAAATATGAGTAAAGCATAACTTAAATAGATATTTTATGAAAAAGTGTAAAAGTTTATGTGAAAGAGTGAAAATTTATGAAAAAGTGTAACTTAAATACACGTTTTATGAGAAAATATAAAAGTGTATGAGAAAAATAAAAGCATGATATGACTTTTCATTGATAAGCGTGTGATGGGGCTTGATAATGTCAAATGCTTTAGACCTGTTTTCCATAAAAGAAAAACTGGCCTTTTTTCTAGGGTTATTTTCAAACCGCATCTCATCCTCAAGTTTTTTTTATTTATCTTTTCTAGAGAATGTTAAAGTCATAGGAAATATTATTTCTCGTCCGATCCAAACAAATTCTAATTACCCACTATTCAACATATTTTTGACATTTGTTTTTAATCCATGTGAAATCAAAGTGAGAAAACTAATTTGGAATGGGAAGTAGTCACTTGTAATTAATGGAAGGGAAATGCCAACTTATCTACTCATGCAGTAGTGTAGATCAGATCCCCGCGTCCGCCCATGCCTCCTCATAAATGAGTTGGGTTGCATTTCTGTTGGGGGGGAATTAACTGCTTCCCTTTTTTTAACTCTCACCGCATGGGGTGACACTTCTAACTTCTAACCACCCTCAACTAACTCTTTTCCATCCTTGTAAAATCAGTACCGGAGTAACATGTTGTTAGTCATGGAAAAAAAAGGGCACCTTACCTTTTTTGCCATCAGTACAGCATGATAAAAACAGCAATGTTTTACACCAAGAGCATGTTTCCTTTTGTTTTTCAAAAAGAGGATTCATTACCTTTGCATTTTCTTCGCCAAATGTCCGCGTGCGCCAAAGCCTTTCCCCTCCGGGTTTCGCTTATCGCAGCACTTGCAGCTGCGAATGTTGAGATTAGTGCCGCATTTCAAGCAGAGGCCCTTGCATTGGGGATCACAGATGGCATTGAGAGTGATTTCTAGGTGCACTCGGTCTCTTATATGCTTCGATATGTCAATGCTTCTCTTTTCGGCAGGAAAGTGAAGTTGGTCTTCAATGTCAATCAGAGAATCGTCGTCCTCTCTGTCTTCAATAGATCCAGATTTCTTTGATCCAATAATTATGCCCATGTCTAGAGTCTCTGGTTCCTCAACCGGCGGTTCTTCACTCAGCAAGAGAGAGAAGTTGGAAAAAACACTTACGGCAGCTGGTTCGCCACACCTTCAATCAGAGTATGCAGCCTCATAAAACTCAAAGAGAAAACAGAACATATATGAGGAAGAATACAATAGCTTCACGGGGGGAGGGGGTAACAAAAACAAGCAAACCCATTAGAATTCTCAAAGACTTATGGATTATGAAGGGTGGGTGTACACGATTAAACCTTACTCCTACCAAGAACTAGAGAGGTTTCTTCCATGAGATTGAAAGAGGGTATTCCTACCTATTAAGAAATGTGAAAAAAGAATACAATAGCTTGAAGGAGGGTAACAACAACAAGCAAACCCTGAAGAATTTTTAGGAAAATGGAGTCCATGAAGGGTATGTCTACGAAGACCTTACTCCTACGAGAAAGTAGAGAGTTTGTTTCAAAGAGCTCGATGGAGGGTCTTCCTACCTATCAAGAAATAATAATGAAGATGAATACATTGCCGCTAAAAATGCCTCCTCCACATTCATTTCTTCTACTAGCATTTTGAGCATTCCTACTAACTGTGTTCAGAAACACACTCTAGAAGATTGAAACAATGTGAGCGGATTGGATCCTCTAAAGATTGTTTTGGTAGTTCTCCATCCCAGAAATCAATATGAACTGTCAATGTAAGAACCCCATAGCCACAGAGGATCTGTTTCTACAAACGCCGAGCACCCTGACGCCTGCTTCACCCCACCTTCCAATGTAATCGTCTCTGCAACTCTAGAGCAGAACTCATACCAATGGGCAATGCTTCTTGTTTCCATTTTAATTATTCGCGTTGGGGTTTCCCCTCGCGAGAGGAGAAACCAAAGAAGTAATGATTAATGATGGTAGACATAGTCATTGACAAACAAGGTAGCTAATCAACATCCCAACACTTCACATAGCATAAAAAAATCAGGGCAGAAAACAATAGTTTTAATTTCGATGTTCTACTGCGGGAAAAAATGTCAGTACCTGTTGCAACCTAGAGTAATGACGGTCCGGATGATGCCATCGAGCCTGATTTTGCGCTGCTTAATCGTTGCTTCGAGGGAAACGAGCACCGGCGTGCCTTCGGGATAATCGGTGACATCTTTGGTAACCCTAATTCCCATCAGCGAAGCGCGGGACCTGGAAACCTCGGTGGAGAGCTTCCCAAGACCCAGCCTTTCTAGGGTTGTGCAGTACTCCAAATGCGAGACGGAGGGGTTCCTTCCGTACACCACCGCGCCTTCCCACGGCGACTCCTCCTCCTCCTCCTCTATTCCTAGCTCGATTTCGCCCCAATCGAAATCCGAACCGTTTTCATCATCGATCGGGGGGAAACTGTGAGTTCTAACTGCGAGTTTCAAGCCCAGAGGGAGTTCTCTAACTTGGATAATGGGGTTCCTTCTTTCAACAATGGCGGACAAAGTGTTGTGGTTGTTGTGTAGCCTGGCGGGATAGAAACATGACAATATAGACTTTGGGGAGAACATTAGCGCCATTTCCGACCAGTAAATTCCGAGCACGGAGGCCGAACAATACTTTCTCTGGATGTAGAAGTATAGACTAGAGTTTCCCTTTGTATAAAAAATGACTTTGTAAACAGAAATTTGAATAGCTAAAAACCCTAATATACTACTAGTGGTATGTAGTGGGAAAAAAATACAAACCAATTGCAAGCTTTGAATATGTAAAAACAAAAAATTACACCCTATTCTCGAGGTTAGGATATTTTTGTATTTGTAAAATTGTAGCCACTAAGTGTAGTGGCTACCAAGTAAAATTGTAGTCACTAAGTATAAGTGATAGTCAAGCATATCAATATAAATATGTGGATAATAGTAATGCTAAATAATGCAAGCCTAAAAAATGAAAGAAAAATACTATATATATTAAATTAAATCAAAATGGGTGGCATGTTTGTTGTCCCTTGCACCGGGCTGACTTACGAGCCAGCAATTGCCCTGTTTGTTGGCCGAATTGATCGCTTAATTTTGGTCGCTTAAAATTGTTCAAATGGAACCACTCCCAAGTATTTTAGATGTGAAGCTCACCTACATTTGATCCCCAACGAGAACATTGACTCTATGTGCTTCACCAAATTAAGAAAATATGTATGAACAAATATTGTATCACTAAGACTAGAAAAGGTACTCACACGTTAGTCTACCCAAACATTTTTACTCGGGTGTTGAGACTGTTATGGACTACAATTATTAGGAGTAGACATAATTTGTGACCGTCCTATGATTTCGCAAAGAGCAATGCTAGGGGTACACCAAAGGATGTACCTCATATGTCCCCCACCTTTTCTCCACCACTCATTTTTACCTCATTTTTATTTATTTAATTCTTTTAAAATGTCTTGCACATTTTTGTGGTAATGGAGGGGGTGGATGACAAATGGGGTACACCTTTGGTGTACCCTTAGCATTTTTCTTTCGCAAAATCTGTAGTGTATCAAGAATATTCCAAAATTATATTTTAGAATCAAAACTCTTCATATAATATTTCAAAAGGGAATGGTATCATAATAATGTATGAACTGAGCAGCTGATCTCGCAAACAAGCTAATTAGGGAGGCAGCCAAATATAATGGAAGGGGTATAAGCCTGGATGGATTGAATTGGAGCACCCGGCCAAGTTGGCAAAGCTAAGTCTCCCGGCGGCGTATTCCGTAAGTTTATTACCCGCCGATTCCTTTATATACAGTCGTCAACTACTTTAATTAGCAAGTCAATCTGATCTTTATCACTTTATTAGTCTTTTTTCTTGATTGGCTGGCAATTTAGTCTCTTTTCTTGATTGATTGACAATTTCGTTTTTATCTGTTTTGTTTTTTCATTTCGGTATTGACAAGGGCCATTCCAATCTCTTATCTCTGTGGGTGCTCTCTATACAATACTCCGTAGTGATAGAGAAAAGAAAAGCAATGAAGAGCCCAAAAATTATTTCCAGCTAGCTAGAATTAGTTGGTGTCCATAAAGATATATAGATATATATATGGCTAACAACAAGTCACGGATAACATCACTTTCAGGCTCTCTATGGGCTTCTCTGCTGAGTTTCATGGTGTCATCATGCTTCTTCATATCCTTCCCATTGGCACAACATTCCTTTACAACCACCTGTGATCATCATCACAGATTGGTCAATTCTAGCTTCGACAACGTGCATCTCATCAACTCGTGAGAACCGCGGCACTTATCTCATCCCATACATGTTTTGCTCTTTTGAAATGAAACGTTGTTATATTTGTAGAGTTATATTTATAGATACAAATGTGTGTGTGTGTGTGTGTGTGTGAGATCCAGCAGGGACGAAGAAGTGGGAAGACGGAGATCAAGCGCCCAAATCAATTCTGAAATGGAGAATGTTGATTATGATAATAATGCCACTTGGGTGCGATCAGTAGTTGGTGAGTTCACCTTTGAGGCCGATTCGGCTCCCTTCCCAAGCTGTCACGCTTCCACTATTGTTCAGGTTAAGGACCGTATATCCCACAACTTCTTCCGGCATTTCAAATTGGCTTATCAATAAAAAAAAATTTTTAAAAAAAATACATATACTACCTTCGTTTGGATGAAAAATTTGTTGACGGATAAGTTTTTGAGTAGTGTATATTTAACTTCTTAGGTGACTGGAGATGAATTCTTGGTGGCATATTTTGGTGGCACAGCTGAGGGGGCCTCTGATGTCAACATTTGGATGCAAAGTTACAAGGTGATATGATCCATCCATCTTTTTATTAATGTTCTTGAATAGCATTCCTTTTTCTTTGGATCATAGCACTCTTACCTTCGATCTTCCCCTCGATCAACTAACCACATGGTTCTTTACATGTGTGATGTGTTTTTTTAACTGTATGTAGCAGAATGGGAGTTGGGGCCCCCCTGTTGTAGCGGACAAGGAACCGGGTGTCCCAATGTGGAATCCTGTGCTATTCATGCTTCCTTCTCGTGAACTGCTTTTGTTCTATAGAATTGGGAAAGACGTTCAAAGGCAAGTTGCGTTTTTTTCCTTCTCGGGCCAACGTTTCGAAACAAGGCTTCATTTCGATAGGTTAGTGGGAAGAGTAATTAATTAGTCACGCGTTTGATGAACATATATAGTTGGAGCGGATGCATGAAGAGATCTTATAATGGCGGTATGACATGGACAGGACGAGAGCAGCTTCCTCCTGGTATATTAGGACCCATAAAGAACAAGGTGTATATATATATATATATATATATATATATGTATGTATGTATGTATGGTATGGAGTAAGGACCTGCCCCTTTATTCCCCACCCTTCCATGTTTCTACTTGCATACAATCCAGTAGAAAGAATCCCACCAGAATTGAAGTAGGACCTTAGCTTATTATCCCTGGCCTACTTAGGGGATCTTTTCAAGAGATAAGTTTTTGGTTACATACATAGCTAGCTACAAATAATGCTTCTGCTAATTATATTGTATCCAGCCTTTATTACTAGAAAATGGAACATTGCTTTGCGGATCTTCCATTGAGAGCTGGAATTCTTGGGGATCGTGGATGGAGGTGGGTACCATATCATAAACCTCATTGCCTGCAACTCATTCATTCATTCATCAACTTTGATCATTATGTTGTATTGTTGTAACACCTCCCTCCCAATGATATTGAGCTAGAAGACCTTCGACTCTTTGTTTTTAAACGAGAATTACAGATGACGAGTGATTCTGGTAGAACATGGAGAAAACACGGACCGATACACATTGCGAACAACACTCTCGGTGTGATCCAACCCGTCCCCTATCAGGCTGCAGATGGGACGTTGCGAGTTTTACTGCGCTCATTTACTGGCCTAAATAGAACTTACACCTCCGTGTCCTGTGATGGTGGTCTTACCTGGGATCACGCAAAGCCCACTCCTTTGCCTAACCCAAATTCAGGTTAATAAAGAAGAAGAAAAAGAAGTTAGTAACAGGACAAAGTTGTGTGCATATATGTTCTTCATCCACATTAGTTTATTTATTTCACTTTTGCTTGCTTGCTTGCTTGCTTGTTACTTACCACCATGGCCACGAAACAGGGATTGACGGTGTTAAAGTGAGGGATGGTCGGCTCCTTGTGGCATACAACACAGACTCGAGAGCGGTTCTCAAAGTGGGAGTTTCTGAAGACGATGGAGAGTCGTGGCGTGAGGTTGCAACGCTAGAGGATACCCCGGGGAAGGAGTTCTCTTATCCAGCCGTCATCCAGGCCTCTGATGGATCTGTCCATATCACCTACACCCACAACAGAACTCAGATCAAGGTGATGATGATGATGCATGTCCTGTTTCTTTTTTCTTTGTCTTTTTTTTTGTAACTTAAAAACAAAATCCGAGAGTAAAAATGGACACCGAAATCCTGACAAGGGGACCGGAGTATAAGAAAGTTGTGAATTGGAGTAAGAACATACAGAGTATTAGTTTCCTAGCTAGCTTGTTAGATATATCACATTATTATTAATAGTGCAGTGTTTGATGTCATTCTATTGCAGCATGTAGTGTTGAAGATCTCTTGATGATGAAGAGAACTGGGCCTGCTGCATGCAACAAGATGATCTTGCTTGCTTGCTTGTTTTGATGCAAGATTCATGAACATATATATATTTTGGTTCATATGTATGAGTGTTGGGATGACCTATCTATCTATCTATCTCATCAAGTGAATGCGTATGTGGAAGTGTAATGGACTATCAGCTTTGGTTGTATATGCGTTGCTAATTTATGTCTAAATTTACTTGTCCATTTTTATGTTTTGTTATTGGGACGTTTCGTTTTGTTGTCTATTTACTATGGGCCAGTTTAAGAATATTGTATTATTATTTTCGTTTAACATTAGCATTTTAGATAAAATTTTAATAGCAAATTAATTTCAAAAATGCTAATATTAAAGGCTACCTGTAAATAACTTTTTTAAAATGCTAATGTTATTCTCTAATGCTATTCCCAAACAGGTCCATATATACCCTCGGTGTATTTGTGTACTAAGTTCGAGAACTTAGCTCTCTATTTACTAATCGGTCAAACAAGTCTGCCCCGTCCTACTAGTTTATTTTATTATTATAATACGCTTTTTTTAGTATATCACATATGTAATCTATATATTATCTTCGTCTCTGAGGATTTGTCCAGTTTTGATTTTTTGGTCAATTATTTTCAACCTTTGACATATGATTAAATAAAATATATATTGTATATTAATTAGAAAAAATAATATTTTAAAAATATTTTATATAATAAATCTAATAAAATTATATTTGTATAATATCTAATATTATTTTTTATTTAATTTGAGATCAAAGATTACCAATTTTAACTAAAAAAAATCAAAAGTGAGCGAATACTCAGGGACGGAGAGAGTATATCTTTACAAAAGAATTTATGAAAAGAAGTGTATTTGTAGTATAAAAAAAGTGTACTTTTTTCGAAAAAGAAAATATAAATATGTAAGCTTATGAAAAAATGTGAGAATATCCATACTTTAAATGTGAGAATATTTATTTTTTGGATGCACTTAATTATGTAAATAATGTAATCTTAAAGTATTTGCGTTTAATATCAAACTTTTTGCAAATATTGACATGATTTTTTAAATTGTTTTTTTTTCAGAGTTTTAATTTTAAGTTGGAATGTTTAGTGTAGGACTGTGGGCTAGTCTATTGATTTCAAGAACCAAACAAAGAATTCTTCATGATGATGAAACTTGAAAACCTCTTTGGATCGAGTGTTCAGCAGGTCCCCGAGTAGACGGGAGACGGCGGAGCTCTGATGAATATTGAGTTACTCGGGGAAGCGAATGGGATGAAACTGGAGGGAGGCATCTTCGAGGTATGAACCGTCTCCGGTGATGCCCACCACTTGTATGAGAGAATACTCCAGAGGGATTGGAGGGACAATGGGAAAAAGATTTCCTTCCTAACAATCAATAAACAATGGGAAATGTGGCGGAAAACAACTTTCTATGGAAATCACTTTCCAATATAAAATAAAGGTAAAAACTTTCTTGCTAAGAGCTCCCTGTATTGACCGCAACTATCCTTGTATTTTCTGTTAACTTTATTTAGCAAAGCAATTCTTATCATACTCCGTATTTCTTGGTTGATTCATTGACAATTTCGTTTTTTTGCTGGTTAAATATGTTTTCCATTTGGTTATTATTGACAAGGAGCATTTCACTCTGTGGTGTGGGTGCACTATAAAGAAAAGAAAAAACAAAACAAGAATCCAAAACTGTTTCTAGCTAGCTTTAAATAATTTCCATGGCTAACAAGTCCTCGATAACACTCTCAGGCTTTCTATGGGCTTCTTTGCTGAGTTTCATGGTGTAATTCTTTCCTTTGGCACGTTCCTTTAGAAGCACTTGTGATCATAAGCACAGATTGGTCAATTCTAGCTTCAATGTGCATCCCAACTCGTGAGAACTCGTTATCTAAATACACATTTTCAATCTTAGAAATGCTGTTATATTTGTAGAGTTATTCACCCATACAAATATGTGTGTGATCCAGCAGGGAAGAAGTAGGAAGACGAAGATCAAACGCCCAAATAAATTTCAAAACGGAGAATGTTAATGATATTGGCACTTGGGTGCCATCAGTTGATAACTTCACCTTTCCGGCTAATTTGGCTCCCTTTGCATACTGTGACGCTTCCACTGTTGTTGAGGTTGAGGGGCATCCCACAACTTTCTTTAATCTTAACTTGTTCTAATTATCGATCTTTTCAAATTCATTTATAGATCGATACGATTTTAACCTGTTAATGGATACTAGTATATGGTTTTAGGTGAGTAAAGATGAATTCTTGGTGGCATATTATGGTGGCTCAGGTGTGGGAGCCTCTGATGTCAAGATTTGGACTCAACGTTACAAGGTCATCTTGCTTTCCTTTTCTTTTCTTTGGATCATACTGCGTTACTCTTCTTCCGCTGTATATATAACGGCAATCAAGCATTTTCATCACGACTCTTGCTTTCTTCTAATGGACATATTCCATAAAGTTTTTTAATTACATGGTTTAGGCTAGAGATTGAGCTAGGATCTTTGTCAGTTGTCACTCATAATATGGCACGGGCGACCTATTTAGGGGTCCCACACATGCCTCATTTGACACTGAACTTCAAGGGTTGCACCGAGACGGGGTGAAACACCAATTTTTTTCATTATTGATAAAGGATTTGGGTGTGGGGATGCCCCCAAGTACCCAGCTGGGAATGGGAAGTGACACCTGTTTGAAGAATCTGTGCAACATAGCCCCGAAGCGATTCTTACTTCCTTAACCATCATAACTCTCAGCCAGCCACCCATTGCCTGTGGGATGAGCAGATGTTAATTTGTTTCCAGTGCTGTCATCATAATGTGGAGTATCATTTTTAATGAGATACTTGTATGTTTTATTACTGTTGCAGAATGGAGGTTGGAGTCCCCCTGTTGTAGCGGCTGACGAACCAGATGTCCCAATGTGGAATCCTGTACTGTTGATGCTTCCTTCTCGTGAATTGCTTTTGTTCTATAGAATTGGGACAATGATTCAACTTTCCGGCCAATGTTTCAAAACAGATCTCGTAAGGTTAGTGGCCAAAGTTATATAGTCAGCGGCATCCGGAAGTGGTGGCCTAGCACACATTGGAGGTCCCCAAGGGAAGTCAGAGTTTGATATATATATATATATATATATATATATATATATATATATATATATATATATAGACACACACACACACACACACATATATATATATACGTATATATATATAAAGCTTAGAAGTAAGCGGTGTAGATATACTATAGAGGGCATAATTTTAAGTTTTGCATAGGTTCCCTGAAAATTTAGCAGCTCTTGTGTGGAGTGGATACATGAAGAGATCTTATGATGGCGGTTTGACATGGGCAAAAAGAGAGCAGCTTCCTCCCGGTATATTAGGACCCATAAAGAACAAGGTACGCATGTATGTATGTATGGATTGCTGGATGGAGCCCTTCTTAATTATTCCCTCACGTGCTTCCATATAATTAATCTTAGCTGCAAATATAATGCTCCTATTCAATTCTATCCAGCCTTTGTTACTACAAAATGGAACATTGCTTTGCGGATCTTCTGTTGAGAGCTGGTATTCTAGGGGAGCGTGGATAGAGGTATAGTACGTACATATTAAACCTCATTGCAACTCATTCATCATCATTATGGTGTTACTTACACATCATATCTAAACCAATGAGATATAGAGTTAGACGATCTTTTTTTTTAATACAGATGACGAGTGATTCTGGTAGAACATGGAGAAAGTATGGACCGATATACATAAAGAATAACACTCTCGGTGTGACCCAACCTGTTCCCTACCAGACGACTACAAATGGGACTTTGCGAGTTTTACTCCGCTCATATGATGGCCTAAATAAAACTTACATCTCAGAGTCCCGCGATGGTGGTCTTACATGGGATTATGCTACGCCTACTACTTTACCGAACCATGATTCAGGTTAGGAACTGCAAATCTGTCTTCTTAAAAAACAATGAGCTGCACATCTAGTACCAAACCGTTAAAGAAAGGATAAAAAGATGTGATAGAATTTAGAATCAGGTAGGAGTCACTCAACTACCCCATTTAGGTCAAACCATTTTGATTCCAATTAAGCCTTTAATCACGTCGTGAACAGGATTTGACGGTGTTAAATTGAGTGATGGTCGGCTCCTTGTAGCCTACACCACATTCTCAAAAGAGGTTCTCAATTTGGAATTGGCACTTTCACAAGACGATGGAGAATCGTGGCATGATGTCTACACACTAGCGAATACCACGGAGAAGGAGTTCTCCTATCCAGCCATCATCCAGGCCACTGATGGATCAGTCCATATCACCTACACCTACAACAAATCTCAGATCAAGGTAACATCCTTTTTTTTGTTTATTTTAGTAACTTCAAAAGAAAATCAAATAAAAATGGACAACGCACGAAATCCTGACATATTATACTATCCGTGTCGTTCCATTATTCCAGCATGTCGTGTTGAAGAAGATCCCTTGATGAAGAAAACTGAGCATATTGCAACCGGATGATCGTGCGCTTTTCTTGTTAGGATTCAAGATTCATGAAGATTTTGTTTAATTGATCTGAACACACCTTCTCATGGATTATATTATATCTCCCAGCTTTGGTTCCTATATATATGCAATATTGTCATAGCAGTTAGGATGCCTTGGTCCAAATAAAACTATAATGTCCTGTTGAATTGTTTTTTTTTTTGTCTTTAAAATGTTTGATCTATATTTTGTTCAACATCATATGTATGAAAGGATCCTTGTTGAGTAAGTACTTTGTTTAAACTAAATTTTTAGTTGAGTTTGGTTCAATGTTTATTTTTAGTACTCCGTAATAATGTTAGTTCAAGATATTATGTATAGAACATTTTTTTCATTATTTTAACCGATCAAAATTTTCTGCTCATGTCATTCAGCTCAAGTTTTTTTTGGTTAAACAAGACAAATTTCAATCATTAGTTACATAAAATTTTGTTTTGTATATTAATACCCGAGTACAATGAAACAAATAATATTTAATACTTTTTTTGTAAGATAATTTTAAAAAAATATTTTTACGAAATTTATTCGAAATGTCATTTTGAATAATTTATACGGAGTATTCAAAATGTCTTTTTTTTCGTTTTTTTAATAATAAAAAATACTCTGTGAAGATAATCTCAGGTCCCACTGTCCCTGCCAGTCAGCCACCCCAAGCGGGGCTCCCTAAGTCTCCAATCTCCATTGGGTTCCTTTACTTGCAGAGTTGCAGTAAGATATTGGCAATTTGGGCTGAAAAAAATGATTTTTCTGGGGAAAAAATTCAGTTAATCAGCGGCGTTTCCGGTTGTTGTGAGATGATATTAGGATGACGACGACAGTGTTTATAGCGGCGGGAGAAGTCTCTTCTCTGTCTCACTGCTCCGTCGTCTTCTTCAACGCCCCCCCGAGCCCCCTTCTTCACCGGCGGCGCAACCCAAGCAGACTCCTCCGCCGCGTCCATGGAAAACCTCGTCCTCCATCGTCGAATCTCAGTCTCCTTAATCCTGCTAACAGGTAAATCAGTAATAATAATCAGCTCTCCACTTTCTGCTAGCTCGTTTTTTATTACGGAGTATTTCTGATTCAGTTGAAAACTCTAACTTGGATTCTAAACTCGAGAAGAGAGATACAAAATAGAATGAAAAAGAAACTAATTTTATATGGAATTGACAATGCTCATTATCAGGTTTCTGATTTACTATATCATTTTAGTAGTCCATAATCTTTTCCAAGTTACTCGTGGAGTTCTGGACATAGCTTCAAAGAACTGTTTTTTTTCTTCTCAAATTTAAAAAAAAAAACATTCTTGAAATCTGCACAGTTCTCTTGGAAATGGTTCTTCTTTTGTTAATTGGAAAGTGGTGGTGACGGTGGTTGTTGATCATTGCCTTCTTTTTTGTCCTCCAGCTGTGATAATGTAAACACTGCCTGCAAAAGTGCAGTAGAGTTTGTCTTGAAAGCATTTGAGAGTACCTCGGGTACCAAGAAAGAGAGAACTCCCTCTGCAAGAAGAGCGGCAGGTATGTTCTTAGCTTCATACCTGTTAAAACACCTAATCGGGAATTCACCCATCTCGCCATAGGATGAAGAAATGGGCCTCCTAACCTTATTGCCTAGGTTTTAAGATTGAGACTTGTACTGCGGTTCCTATATGTCTACGTGCTTATTTAAAAGTATATAGTGTGCTATATTCTTATGTCGTTCACTTCTACATCCACAACACGTGAATCTTTATTAAGATTTTGTTTGAACTTTTTCAGCAGCAATTGAGGACACTGGTATCGATTTTGGGGACTTTTTCAAAGGCGCATTACCGGGGAAATTTCTCAAACTCTTGGGTTTTTTGGCATTGTCAAGATTTGGTATATATGTGCCACTTGGTGGAGTTAATAGGGATGCATTTGTTGGAAATTTAGACCAGAACAGTATATTGAGCACTTTGGATTCATTTTCTGGGGGCGGAATTGGTCGACTTGGAATATGCTCCCTCGGTATTGTTCCTTTCATCAACGCACAGATTGTATTTCAGCTTCTTGGCCAAATAAATCCCAAGCTGCAAGAACTTCAGAAAAGAGAAGGTGAGGCTGGAAGAAAGAAAGTGCTTCAGTATACTCGCTATGCATCTGTAGGATTTGCCATAGTACAGGTAATGACATTTTTACTTTTCTACGTATGGTTTGCTTGCACTATGTTTGGTTCAAAGAATTTGAAAAGGGAAAAGAAAAGAAAATGAGAGGAAAAATAATTTTTCATGTGTGGTTAGAGAGGAAAAGAAAAAGTGAAAGGAAAAGAAAAGGAAAAGGGAATAAATACTAAGAGGGAAAACCAAATTATTCCTATTTTGGCGAGGAAAAGAAGAGAAAACCATTTTCTTTTCTTTTCCTTCCAAATTCCTTGAACTAGACATAGTGTTGGAGAAACAACAATATTAAAAGTGAAATCTCCTTCATGCATAACTCTGATAATATCTTCCATTTTTGCACTCAATCTCTACTCTTTGATTTGAAGACTTTTATTTATTTGTGGCAGGCAATTGGGCAAGCACTGTATCTTAGGCCTTATGTGGATGACTTTAACACTCAGTGGGTTCTTTCCACTGTTGCTCTGCTGACTCTTGGTTCAGTATTCACAACATACATTGGGGAGCGAATATCTGACTTAAAACTAGGAAATGGCACGTCTCTTTTAATATTCACAAATATCATCTCATACTTGCCAGCATCATTTGGTAGGACAGTTGCAGAGGCATACCAAGACGGTAACTATGCCGGGCTTGGTGGAATCCTTGTTTCCTTTTTCCTGTTAGTCCTTGGCATAGTTTATGTACAGGTTTGCATCAAACCAATTGCTATATTTTTAAATATGAAAAACATGGCAACACACTTAACTTATCATGCGTTTTCAGGAAGCAGAGAGGAAAATTCCACTAAATTATGCCTCAAGATATACTAACAGGACTGGAGGTGTACAGAAATCTGCTTACTTGCCCTTCAAAGTTAGTACCCGTTATCCTTATGACATTTGATATTTTCAAGAGAGCATAATCTCCCCAAAATATATTAAAAAATAAAAATATTCTGCCACTGAGCTCGAAGATTAGACTTAATCAACTTAACATTAAACAATAATATTCTCCCCAAAAATAAAAAATATTCTGCCACTAGCATTAAACACTTAAAGAAGTAAAGAACTACCACACCATTGTTAATGACTGGTACTTCCTCCGTATGATTTCTTTTATTTTGGGATAGAGGGAGCTGTTGTTTTCTGTTCATATCTTACTATATAGTCCACTCCCTACTTTTGATAGATTCTACTGGGTTTGTGTGTTTTTTTGTTTTGTTTTATCTTACTATTTTCCACAGCACACACTTCAAAGGAAGATTCAAGAAAATTATGAATGCTATTTGTGAATATCGCCATTTCCCTTTTTCATATTAGTTGAAACACTCCATGAGTATCCCCCTAGTATTCTCCTTATTTTATGGTGAGAAGTGGTAAGTGTCCAAATCCATGTTTCTTTGTTATGTATTTTTATTTATAGTGTCAGGTCTTCTTTGTCTTTATAGTGTCTGCTAATTGATTGCTTGATGTTTTAATGTTGAGCAGGTAAATGGGTCTGGAGTTATGCCAATCATCTTTTCTACGTCATCTTTGGCTATTCCTGGTACCCTCGCACGGTTCACTGGTGTGGAAGTGCTTAGAAATGCAGCAGCCGCTTTAAACCCTGGTGGTGAGTATAATGTCTGCCCCACGAAAAGAAGAAGTGTTTTTTTGTTCCCATTTTTACCCCTCTTTTGTACTCCGTATATTATTTTTTGAATATGGGTGTTATACTTATTTCCTTTCACCGTCTCTCAGTTCTCTTTTCCCATAGCAAATAAACTCTTTTTCTCACATTTTTGCTCTCTTCCTAATCTATCCTTTCACTAAACCAAGCACACCATCAATGCTTAGAACTAAGCCAAGTATGTCTCTTCTTTCTCAGGTTTTTTGTATCTTCCAACAAATGTACTATTGATTGCCTTCTTCAATTACTACTATACATTCCTGCAACTAGACCCGGATGACGTGAGTGAACAGCTGAAGAGACAAGGTGCTTCAATCCCCTTTGTCCGCCCTGGAAAAAGCACTGCTGCTTTCATCAAAACGGTAACAGCCGAACCAAACACACACAAACATCTTTGATGATAATTAACAACATTAATCCACCTTAATAAATCTGGAATTGTGCAGGTTCTAAGTCGAATATCCGTTCTTGGTTCTGTATTTTTGGCTGTTTTGGCTGCTGGTCCTGCAGTGATTGAACAAGCCACACACCTTACTGCTTTTCGGGGTTTCGCTGGCACGTCAGTTCTCATTCTTGTTGGCTGTGCCACCGACACAGCACGGAAAGTGCAGGCAGAGATTATATCCCAGAAATACAAGAACATTGAATTTTATAACATTGACAAAAATGTACCATAATGACAATAGTCTCTCCTTTTCTGCACATACTTTAGCTAGTGTTATTGGCCAAGTTTTGCATTTCTCGCTCTCCATTTGTGCATATAATTCATTTGTTCAGTTATGGATGATTTTACCTTGCACACTAAATTTTGGGATAAATAATGTTGGGATGAACAGATAAAATAAGGGGCAGAGGAAGTATAAAATAATGCATTGCAGAACAATGGGGAGGGAACTTAAAGATAAAGGGAAGCATGTGCATTTGTATTCTAACAAAGATGAGTAATAATAAGAACTTTGGTTGCCTTCTTCATTGCTCTGCTGAAAAGGAAACACCAACAAGAAAGAACATATAACAGAAACATGGGGGAATTAGAACTCTGTTGAACACAGTAGTGCAAATAATAATGTACGATTGGTAAACAACAGAGCTGTTGATATCTCAATTCTCCTATATATCCTATTATAGTACATTCACAAAACAGTTCACATCATATCAGGAATATAACATAATCACTTCCAAAATCACAGGGTGCGGTATAATTCGGCATGTGCCCACCGCCTGTCCCATAATATACAGCACGCTAATCATCGGGCTCTTCTGAAAAGTCGGGCTCCTCGGGTTTCTGCAATTTAGGCAAACCGACATCTTTGATCTTCTGAGCTCCTCTCCTAGTGTTTGCAGCAAACCTTGAAGCCAATAGAGTGATCCCCAGGTTTGACTTTGCCGTTGACTGCTGGTCGTTCGATGAGACGGGAGGAGAAGAAGAACCTTTGTCCTTCTCCTCCTCCTCCTCCTCTTCTGTCATCATCCTTTCACTCAAAGCAAAAGATTCCATCGCGGCGAGATCTTTTGCCGACATTCTCCTCTTGTGCCGCCTCCAAGCCGCCTGTATGAAGCACGCGGCCCACGTTCTCCAATGGTGAGAGTAGAACCGGAACGTGTGCTGCAGCTTCTTGCTGTGCAGCCGTCTGAACTGGTTTGCCACAAACTTGAGATCTTCTGCCCTCAATGCAAAGGCTTCCACCTCAACCAGCGCTCTCACTGTTCTTGTCGAGGAGGGCAAGTTGAGAGTGGATTTCGGGAGCAATGCCCATGCGAGGAGCTCCTCCCCGCAGAAATCCCCAGGCCTCAACGTGATGGAGTTGAAGAAACCGGTCCGGCCTCCGTTGGTGGTGGAGCTCTCAAGCCTCCCTCTTATGATGAACAGCATCTCTGCAACCGGATCGCCCTCGCGCACAATGTAAGTCCCCTCCGTGCTCAAGCATGAGGCTACGCGTTCGCATATAGCATCTAGTAGTTGGTCATCCATCTGAGAGAAGAAGGGTACCTGGCCAATTGTGATGTGCATAAGAAAAGGAAAAAAACAAGACACCAAAAAGAAAATAAAAAAATTTAAAAAGCGGGATTTTTAAAAGTTCTTCAATCTTCTTCATACACGCCGAACAAGGTCGAGGCACAGATGTCGTTGAATATCACGGCGCAGATCAGAAGGGAGGCCGTGTAAAATTGTTTCTTCGTCTACTCCTCGAGTCGCAGCCCATTTATATTGAACAAAACGCCTCACACGTTTTTTCAAGTCTTCCGGAAGTTGGCGGTGCTGCATCCACTCTTCAGTGTCTCTTCGCTTTAGTCTCCATTCCTCAAGCCTCACCGTCATAGATTGCAGGTACGTCTACATTTTTAAAAATATATCAAATAATTAAAAGATCAACTGTGACTGGTTAAGATGGCATAGAAGAGAACATAAACTAATTGCAAAACCACCCTGTATGGTGAAGAGTATCTTAAGATATTTTTCAGCTCACAATGTAATTTCAATACTAGTTCTCAACAGATCATAAAGATGTTCACCAAAGGGCTATTATATTCCTCTTTTACAGGGTATAGATACAGGAAACATACATTGACCATGCATAGTAAAAATCAATCGACAAGACGGAAAGTGGACAATTCCTGGGCAATGACATCATGGAAGTGTAACTAGAAAGGAGAAAGATCAAATTGTGAAAATTTTACCTGCATATTTCCGATGAGATGCGCGAATAAAACAAGACCGAAAATGGCAATGAGTATGGCAAAGGATGTCTCTCCAATAAACGTGCTCGTGGACAAATTCTGCCCGTAAGAACTGAAACCACAAATGGAGGCTTGTGAAGAATTACTTATAACTTCTTTCATCTTAAACAGCCAATCAACCACTAGTTCAAGTAGGCACGTGTAAGAGCTTTTCTATTGATTGTATTGCAACAGCTCCTACTCTATGTTTTGTCATTTGTGCACCAAACATCAACATGTGCTCGCTTCATAAGAAGCCGTAGCCTTTTGATCAGTGGTTATCATTGTCATCCATCAACAATCATGAAGTGATACAATTACTCAAACAATATAAACAATATTTATATTAGGTGCATTGCCAAGTTCTTATTTTTTCTGAACTATTGCTTCCTCCATTACTTGACTACATCTCTTTTTGCCTAGTGGCCAGTGTCAGTATGTGTACTTCTTGCGTATGTGCTCTCACTTTGTCCGTGCTAATGTGTTTAGTATACTTTACATTACTCTGTCTATGCTTTTTGTGCCAGGGTCTTTTGGAAACGGTCTTTCTACTTCAAAGTAGATGTAAGGTCTAGGTACATACACCCTCCCTAAACCCTACTTTTGTGGAAGTTTACCGGGTTTGTTTGTGTTGTTGTTGTACCTCCTTTTAGTCAACAGTTTCAATGACCTCCACATTTTTCAGATTAGACAAGCATTGTCCGAATACAATGACTAACATTACACAATGGCAGAAAAGATATCACCAATAATTAGCATGATATGTGGAAATGAAAAATTACCTGAGGTTCTGTAATCCCCACCACAGGCAATAGAAGTATTTCTGTAGAAAAGTCGCAGAGACAACATTTTTTGTAACAGCACTTTCAAATATGCCATATTTGAAAGTAGTGCTGTCTCCATTGGGATCACAAGTTTTGAACACGCTAGTGATATTTGCCCACGTCTTGCGCGCTTCAAGGTCAAATGTGTCACAGTCCAAGTACCGAGACACACATCCGGTGATATTCCTTTCATCTCTGCAAGTCGATCTCCAACAAGATGTATACCGGTCAACTGACAACAAGTACCATGATGCCCCTAAGACCTGAAGAAAATCAAATCTTGCCTCGCCATCATGTACAAAAAGAGTCATATCATTTCAGAAACTCGGATCTAAAACAATTGAGCTACATACATGGCTAGCCAACATGTAGAGAAGTAGGTTATAAGCAGCCCCAGCCCAAGCAGTTTTCGTGACAACTCCAGTGGCTTTAATGATCTGTGAACTTAGCGGGAAAATAAGATATAGCCTGGGAATATATTGGATTAGGACAATCAGTGCAAGGGCATTGTTATTATGATTAGCACGTTGACTTCTCGTTGCTGGTATAATGAACCATATGACAATCTGCATAAGCAACATACGATAAATATCGCTAAACTAACAAAGAAAATTTAAAAATATGAGTAAGGTTAATGATCTATAGCATTTGTACCTTACTGAGGTACGTCCAAGAGTTGTACACTTGTACCTCAGCCAGATGTGACTATTTTTAATGTGGATAGTAATATTTACTAACATGTGATAGCAGCAAAATTAGAGTGTATATTTTCAAGTTTACATTCATAAGTGAACAATTTTTTATTGGCAAACATTAAATGTATCCATCTTTTTTACAATTCAGAGGCAATCCCCGGTTATGACTAGCCCTAGTTATAGAGGTTATTCTTGTATAGAGGCTTTACTCTACAAACGAACAAATAATCCATAAGACACGATAACAAAAGTCAGTATTTAGTAGCATGTGATAACAGTACCTGCGGGAGAGGCAAAGTCGCAATAAGGTCAATGAAGAAATCAGTTCTTAAATATCTTCGGGCAATGTCCTTAGGATCCATGACAAGCTCACCTCTACCAAACACCCGAGTGTTGGGGGCAACATAAGCAGTTCTAAACTTAATGCCCACATGCAACAAATAGAAAAAATCAGCAATAGTACGGAAAATGGTAACCACAATTCTAAGATTCAAGTCAGTCTTCACACAAGTCAGATCTTTAGTTCCTCGGATAATGGGCAAATAAAAATATAAGGGGTCCACGAACAGCGCCAGCAAGCAAGATATAATGAACCCCCTGTTCCAGTTCAGCACAATGTCACTGCCCGGATCAAGAATCCGCTTTCTCAACGGCTCTTGGTTCTCCGGGTACACCTTTGAGCTCCCAAACTTATGGGTTTCATTGGGTTTATGGTTTTTGCCAGAGCTTGAAAACTTATACCCAGATGACAATTTCTCTAAGCTTGAAGGCTCATCAGCTTCTCCTCTCCATTTTTGCTTCTTTCCACTGGAGTAGAACCTAAAAATTTTCAAAACCCTTACCTCAATAGAAGCAGAACAATTGGAATTAAACATTTCAACAGCAATAAAAAAAGGGGGGTGTGGGTGAAAACCTTAATTTGACTGTACTAAGGAAGAAAGTTTAAATAACTCAAATTAACTTTTATATTAGAAATTTCTCCTATTCTCTAAGCCAAAGAAAATCAAGAATCGATCTTTCTTCAGTTTCTTGTTTCCAAGTTCAAATCTTTTCTCCATCCCGTGAAAAAGAAATCAAAGAGAAACTTCTAAGCACTAACTACATCCAGAATTTAGCAGCACATCCCTCAGAAGGCATCATCATCAACATACCTAACAATCTTCTCCTTCTTCATCTTCAGCTCAGTGTGAAATGGTTTATGGAAAAGTATGAATGAATGGAGCTCAATAGAAACTGACGGATGATGAAATCCCAAAAGTACCCTTTAATCAAAACAGTAACAGAGCAAACCGAAACATTGTCGTTCTTGGTCATGTGGGTTGGGATAAAGAAAACTTTTTCCCGGATCTGTGAGAAGAAATGCAGAGAATATGTTTTTGTTTTCCGAGGAATAATTTGGAATACTCTGTGTATTACACTATTACTACAGCAAAGATTTTTTTTTTTTTTTTTGAGAAAAATTATAACAGCAAAGATTAGCGGTAATATACTCTGTATAGTCTTTGTTTGTTGACTTTTGAGTTGGTCTTTTCTTTATGTTTTCTTTTTTCTTTCACCTTCTTTTTCTTTTTTACTACAAGATCGGTACATTTTGCTCAAGAAACTGTTTTTTAATTGAAGCGAAATAATGGGGTAATTTTTAATTGGTTGGCACTCCCATTTGACCGAATATAGTCTTGCATAATACACTTGTGTTGAGTGTTGAGATACCAAATCTTAGAAAATATTGTAGACTCGTAGAATATCTATTATAATTATTACACGTCAGAATATTATATTTTCTTTCAGTTTATGCAAGCTCCTCGTTCGAATCCTCTCAATACCGCTATGTGTGTGATACTTTATGTAAATGAAAATTCAGGTCATAGTATTCTTTTATGAAACGATATTTATCTTGCTCTTATTGTTTATCTTGGCTTTGATTTGACAAATTGTCTACCCACACAGTCCAGTTATCGAGTATTTTATCACGTAGAAGGGATTGCCTTGGCGAACAAAGAAACAAATGAATGTGGCTCATTCCTCTACTGAAGTCGAATACCGTGTTATGGCCATTGTATGTTCTGAGACTCGACGGTTGTAAAAATTCTAGCAGCTCTAGTCGTCCCCTGTGTGGCTACTCCACGATTTTATTTTGATAACAAGTTCACCTTATCTATTGCTGCTAATCTTAACTTTCATGAACGATCTAAACATATTATAATGGTTGTCATATAGTTCGTGAATCTATCAAAATCAAGGAGATTACGATAATCTGTATTCTTACACACCTTCAAATTTCTGACTTGTTCACGAAAGCTTTGCTGATCATTCGTTTAGACATACATGATATTAATGCACCAAGTTAATGTAAATGGGCCAAGAGTTGTTTTCTACATGGGCCTTAGATAAAACAATGGGCCTAATAAGGGACGGAGGAGACTTTAAGTAGAGAGCCTGTTTCTCTTTAGCATGCCAACGGAATCCCCGGCCTGAGAATTCCAGTCATATTATAAAGCGGGAGGTCGCCGGCAGCCGTAGCGGCACCGATATGGCGACGTCTCACGGCATCAAACTCGCCGTTTATCTCATCTCCTCCTTCTTCGGAGATCTCAACGCTGTAATCCATCGAACACTCGAATTCGTTAATAAAAAAACCCGCCTTTTCCTGAAATAGTTTAGTACTGATGTTTTTTTTCTCCTCTGATTATTTGTGTGTTTAACAGAAAGTATGCGAGTGTCTGTTGAGGAGAGGAACCCTAACATTAGCGCAGATTATGCAATTCACTGAGCTCAGCTCACCTAATGCAAGGAAGTGTCTTCTGGTTCTGATTCATCATAACTGTGTTCAAGCATTTAATGTTCAGCAAGAAGGTATTGTTCTGAAATCTCAAGGTTTCCTATTCTCAATATCACTTTTCCAATTCTATGTGGCTGTTTGAGTATGATCCTCAAATTTGATTTTGTCAAATGTAGGTACATTTGGGACTGCACCCAGAATTGTAACTCACTACATGGCATTATTTGACTATATAATCCATAGAATCAGGCTTCCTAAGTTTATGGAGATCGTGACCAAGGAGTTTGATAAAGAAGTGAGTTTATGATTGTACTCTCAACTTAATTTTTCTGTTTTTTTTCTTTTTGGTTAAAATCTTCAATCTTATCACTATGGGGAGGTTGTATCTTGTTTAGCTTATGGTTGAGATTTGTTTTGATTCAGTGTGATCAGATATTTGAAGGCCTGGTTCAGCACGGAAGGCTTTCTCTCCAACAAATCCTTGATAGGCACGGGGCGACTGCAAAAAAAGGTTAAGGGCACATCCCCTCTGTAATGCTCCTATTTAGGAGTGCCATTTTTAAGAACATTGAACATGTCTGCCAATCATGTTCTGCGTATTTATCTTCAAAGCCGAGTGAGTGAAAACAACCAGAAACGGCATGATAATGATTATGCACAGGATACCCATTATAAGAGTTCCTTATCAAAAAGGAAAGGAATCTTGAATATAAATATTAAAAACCCTTCATTCTATTACTCTGTATTATTAATTTTTATTATTATTATTATTATTATTATTATTATTATTATTATTATTATTATTATTATTATTATTAAAACTCACTCAATGACAAAGTATTATAACCTTACAGGAAAATCTGGTGCAGATGCTGCACTAGATAGATTCAAACGCCTTGTTTCAGCTCGATTTGTGGAGCGTTGTCCAGCCCCTGAACCATTTATTGCACCACCTACTGAGGATGAGAAAGCTGCAGCAAAGAAAAAAGGCAGAAAAGCTGCCCAGGTATTTTGCTTCTACAACGTCTTCAGTTTTGCTGTTTGTTTGCATGTTCCATATCTTTTGAGGTTTCTTCGTGCCCTCAACTTTTAATACAATAAACCAAAAAATGAAAAGCAAAACGCACTTGTGGCTTTGTAAACCTGTAAACAAAGATGTTCTTTCAAAAGATAAAAGTGAGAGGAAAAAGAAATGACTTCATTGTTTCCATGGCCAGTTCCTAGCTCATGCATTAGTGCTTTTACATGCATCCATAGCTCTTTAGTCGTTATGTGGTTGTAGTTTAATAATTTGCTACAAACACGTGGAAATAGATGGACGAAAAGACAATAGAGATCCAGGCTTTAGAAGCAGCAGCTCCCATGGAATCGTTAAGGTTCTCAATTGAAATGGAGTCCTTGAATGATGATGCTTCTGAAAAGACCAAAGAAATGGCAATTGGAGAGAAGGTTTTTCTCTTTATAGTGTTTTTTATCTGTTTTTATGTGCATCAGATATGTGCAATATCTATGTTTGGAGCTATCTTTACAAGATTTTGTACTCTTTATTTGTGGTCCACAGCGAAAGAAAGATGAGAAAGAACTGTTGGCGAAAGATGAAAACCAAGTTCTTTGGCGTGTTAACGTCGAAGAATTTTTGCGCCGCTTAAGGAACAAGGTTTGCACTTATCTCAATTACTTCTATTGTATTTAATACCTTATTATTCACAAAGGCAGCTTTGTGGTCGCAACAGTTTTTCATGGAAGTTTCATACTTTAGACAACTTGATCTAAGGTTCATTTGCTTCTTTGTTTGTTATGCAACGAATTTCATAAGGCTGCATTCTCCTTCGAAAATCCACTTTCCACAAATTTCAAAAGGCTGCATCCTTGTTCTCTATGATTGTATCCAAACATTAGAAAGTATGAGCATGGTTTCTTGTAAGAGTAAGTAAGATGAAAATAAGCTCATGCAATTGCACATCATTGTACACAATAATCTTTACGGAGTATTATTTTACACGATTGCATATTTTTTAGGCTTGCGTTGCAAATGTGAAAGCACGCCTTAATGATGAAGCTGCTATTGTTCTCGATGCAATCCTGGAACTGAGTAAAAGCTCTGAGACCAAAGTAAAAGTTGATCATTCAGGTGATCATAATTTTTATTTCACATGCTAGTTAAATCTTATCATGTTTGCTTTTGGAACATGGTAAACACTTGCACCCAAATAAAGGTTCTAACAGGTCAGGACCACGAGGTTCCCTCACCATGCATGGTGTGGGACTGTGGGTATTACGGTATTAGAGTTGTAACAATAGTTCGTTTGTGGAACTGTATTTTCTTTACAAATTAACAATGATTGTAACATATTTTTGGTCCACGGTCCACCCCACTCTACTTCGTCTTTTTGTGTAAACTAGCTGTGTGACTCATGTCTCATTTTCTGAAATTCACACTCTAGAAGGGTAGATATAATGCTCAACATAATTGTGTACTTAACTTATCCTTTTTGTTTTATTTAAATATATGCATTGCTTTCCCCCCTAAAAGTTATCATGTTTCATTTTCTGGCTTAATTCGTGAGGAGTTATTTTGTAGCCCCAGTTTCCATCGATTCCATTTATGATGCTGTGATAACGAAAGAAGGTGGTATTGGCATGGATTTGGAACGTATTAGAAGCTCCCTTGCCCAGCTGGGATGTGAAGTTCCTTTGGTCCCGCTAGATGAATCATATAGCATTGGTACATACCATTATTAATGCCCAGTCAATTTTCTATTTAGAAAAAAAAAACTTATTTCTATGGAGAGAAATTTGTGTGAGTCTAAAGTATATATCAGTATCTACTTTCTGCTTGAATTGATGTGGATGGATCTCCTTGCAGACCTGAAGAACATTATTGAAATGGCAAAGATTGAAGAGGTTCCCTTCATTCACACTTAATCATCTTTATGTGCTAAGAAGAGGATTACATCCATAATTCCCCAATGGCTGTGCAGGTGGAGCCGATTGTGTGGAGACGGTATGGAAAGGAGGCCTATAGGATGTTCAGGCTACTATCACAGTCTGGTCGACTCATGCCTACGGATGAGGTATTCAGTTGTAAGCATAATATAAGTATACAACTAGAAGAATGAAAATACATTTATTTCGTTGTGATCAAGTGATATCTAATGATCAAGTGAACTTCGTTAGTATTTTTTTGTATATGATTCGGGGTCTCTTGGAAACAACCTCTCTACTTCCAGACCCTAAATTGCGTGGGATTCGTTATTGTTGTAGATTTCAGATTCCACATTTGTCGAAAAGAAAGATGCAGTAAGGATTCTACTTGGACTGTGGAAGGATGACTACTTGGAGATGAGGGTAATGCGTTTGGATCCCCCCCCCCCCCCACACACACACACAACTGAAAGAATTTTGTTTTTTTAAATTGTGGTTTATTTAATGCTGGTGTTGGTTCAATTGCAGAAAGTACTTTTGCGGGGAAATAATCAAACAGAACTAATGTTGTGGAGAGTGAATAAAGAGTCGCTTTGGAAACAGGTTCTGGATGAATTGTATCACGCGGCATTGAATTTGAGAATTAGAATCATACATGAGCAAGAACTAGATCATCAGGTATTGTGTTTTTACCCCTTTTTTTATAATAAAAAAATGTTGTTACTTAAAACGGCTTATAAATATGTTGTCACTATAAAGTAAAAAAAAATGTTGTTACTTAAAAAAATGTGTTTCTTACTGAATCAATAAAAATGACAGGTTGTAGGGGAACTGAGGACAAGTAACAGAGGCGATCCAAAACAGAGAAGGCTTAAACTGGAGTCTGCCTTTTTTAATCTTGATGATGTTATCATGATCTTTCATGACTTTTAGGCTCACAAACTCCTCCTCCTCCTTCACTTACCCACCACTCCATTTTTAACCTCTAACATGTTTTCTTTTCTTTTTTTTTAAATTACTTTTCTCTCCCAACCCTTCTGAATTCAATGAATTGTTTATTCTTATACGTAATTTGTTATAGAATTTAGATGATTTCTAGAACTAACTCTTTGTGTGCAATATTTACTCAAATACCACTAAAACATAATGGATTTTCTCATATAGCACGGCAAGTTTTATTTACATAACTAGTATCTAATTAATTAATTAATAATTCATTATTAATTCTAGTGTACTAAAATGTCATTTATATAATGTTATATTTACTGTCTCATCACGTCCTCTTGTCTTTCGACGGTTGTCGATCACAAAATGCCGACATTAGTGTCCTGTCGCTACACCGTTAATGTCCATTATGTACTCCCTCCGTCCCATTTAAAATCGTCTGTTTTGACTTTTGGGCATATTTAAGGAAAAGAAAAAATAGAGTTGATTTTCCAAAATTGTCATTACTTTTTAGGAGGGGTAACGATGAATGTGAAGATAATGTGAAAAGGAGTGACTTCTTATAGGAGTAGTTTAGGTATTTTACTCTTAAAAGTTTACGATAATAAATACTCCGTAATAGACAACTTATTTTAGGACGGAGAAAAAAAGGCAAACATGTAATTTAAAATGGGACAGGAGGAGTATGATTTAATGACTTTTGTGGCTTTACTCTAATAATATCTAAAATCATTGATAATGTATACATGTCCATTGTCAAGGCATAGTAGGTTGAAAAAAAGACATTGTCACAATTATAAATGTTCACTGCATTAGTTATCATATCAATGTCCTCGATCAATAAACGTATATAATTTTTACAATCTCATGTTCATAATTTTTACAATGTAACAATGTCACTCTCTCTCTCTCTCACACACACACACACACAAAGAGAGATCAAGATAGAGGAGAAAACAAAATCCACATAACGAACAGCGTTGAAGAAAACATATAAAAGAGTAATCAGAAATTTTGTTGAACCATGGGAATAAGTATATTTAGTAGCCCGGAGTATTACAGTGCATGAGACTTCACAACCAAACAATTTCCACATAAAGTTACTGAGTACGTACAGGAGGACAGGGTTTTTTTTATCACTACAAGAAAATGAACAATACAAGTGAAGTCCAAATGTACGAGCTCAGACCGCTCGACTTCAAGGAGTGTGTGTGTGTGAGAGAGAGAGAGATATATATATATATATATATATATATATATATATATATATATATATATATATATATATATATATATATATATATATAGGCTTGCCATGCCATTCTTCCCGAACCCATTTTGGTGGCGGTAGAGGCAATTTGAATGCAGCAATAATAAGACACAATTTTCACCAAAACGGATTTAATGGATCGATCAATCTTTCAAAAATGCTAATAATTGCAGAAGAGTATCCAGCCAACTGTTTGAAACAAGCAAGTGATGCAGGGTTAAAAGACTTGAAATGATACTCGTACTTTTTTCTTTTGAATATTGCATTGCAATAGATTGATAATTATTTATTGAAAACTGTCAAAACTTTTGCATGAACACCATTAGGATGTTGTTACCTGAGCAAGAATGCTCTTTCCTGTATGCCCTTCAATCACAAGCCCTGCTGTTAGACCAATCATAGCCCAAGCACCGTTTATAGCTTCTATTTGACGCCGCCTCTACAAAAAAAAAAAAGTAAAACGAAATCCATCAATACAAAAATGACACCAAAGCCTAGTTAATTTTATCGGGCAAGAGGGAAGCCACTCACTTTCAGTCTCTGTTTGGTTTCAATTTCCTCCTTTTCTTCTGCAGCTAATCGCTTGGCTTCCAAAGGATCAACCATGATCACCTCTTTCTTTGAGCTCCTGTTCCTTTGAGATGCCTATAGAGATCCAATGGTTTTTTTCTATAAATAAAAGCAAACTAAGAAAAACGAGAAAATGAAATTTAACATGGAAAAGAGCATGTGGTTATCTAAACGCAGGTTTGGTTCATGTAAAAAAATCTCCATGATATGATCATGCTACAGTCACGTAGCAAATAATGGCATGAAACACCTCCATTGGAGTTGAAACATGGCATCACAAACTATGCACCAACGCGCTAGTTAAAATATATCCATACAAGTACACGTCTAGTAAAATGTTCAAACACTTGAGCAATGATGGTATCAATATGTTTTGCCATTGGTAAGCATTGCTCATACTAAACTGCATTCAAACAAGATATTGGCGGACCTAGTTTAGAGTATTACTCCTATTGCTAAGGAAATCGTGACAGTGCATACATTAAGCTTGGTGAGGAGACGAATTCCTTGCCTCTTGGTCCCTCGCAGTGTTAAACGGTGGTTTTGTTGGTGACTTCCGAACGGTTTCCTATTGTAGAATACATCACATGAACAAACTGTTGAAGAATAAGTAATGTTGAATAAGTCCAATGCTGAATAAGTCTAGTATTGACTCAGTATTTTTAGTACTCCGTATTAATCAAGTTTGTTGTCCTATTCTTTAGGAAGTAGCTGTACACTTCTATGGCTTTCCTTCTTTTTAGCAGATATAGTTTCTTTCATGTATGGCCTATAAATTGGCTTTCCTATGGAATAATATATCATTAAGTTCTTCTCTGATTCCTCTGTTGATTTCCTGAGTTCTCCAATTTATATTAGTTTCATATATTTCTTCTTATTAAGGTTGCTCACAACCTGTTTGATAAAAGTTCCCAAAGAAACCCAGTCTACATTTGGTATCAGAGCCACATAAATTCACTGCAGCAGCAATATCAATTGATCCATGGCATCTGAAGGCTTTGTTCAACCTTCTATTCCCCGCTTTGATGGTCACTACGATCATTGGAGCATGGTGATGGAAAACTTTCTCCGGTCCAAAGAGCTTTGGGCTGTGGTGGAGACTGGAGCAGCAACTCCCACCGCTGAGATGCCGGCAGACCAGAGGACGAGGTTGGAAGCTTTAAAACTGAAGGATCTTAAAGCTAAAAACTACCTCTTTCAATCAATCGAACGGGCTATTTTGGAGACCATTCCTTGCAAGGAAACCTCCAAAGATATTTGGGAATCCATGAAGAAGAAATGTCAAGGAAATGCAAAGACAAGGAAGCTGCAGCTTCAAACTCTTCGTTTGGAGTATGAATTACTTCGAATGAAGGATGGTGAGAAATTTGCTGAGTATTACTCAAGGACTATGACAATAGTCAACAAGATGCGGTGTTACGGTGAAGAGTTAGAAGATGGAACCGTTGTTCAAAAGATACTACGGTCAATGACGGCAAAATACAACTATGTTGTATGCTCCATTGAAGAGGCGAATGACACTGATGAAATGTCACTTGATGATTTGGAAAGC